GATTCGAACCTTCGCCTACATTCTGCTTCGCTTGCAGCTTGACAAAGGTGGGGGTGGATTCGAACGCAAGGGTGGGGGGGAATGGCCTCCGAGCATCATTGGTTCCCGGGAGACACTGATCCACCCCTCAAGGACAACCCGAGTAGCTGTCCCAGGATGTGGCCAGCCAGTTCCCATAACCAAATGAACTGAAGAGATTGGTGGACATAATGGACTATGGGGAAAGGGAGAATGAATTATGCTTGCTTTTGCGTGGGAAATCCAGAGCTGGTTTTGCTTCTTCTGTGCCAATTTATTCAGTAAAATAATGTCCCAGGAGTTTCTTTTTCTGAATTCCCCAACTGGACAGTGAATTAGAAAGAAAGACTCAACTGGCTTTGAAATTGTTTCCTACTGAAATCATTTTGGAGCCAACTCAGAAAAAGTAATCACCAAGAAAGATTGACCTGGGAATGGTGACTCTGATCGGTTTAGGCCAGGGGTCCCAAACACAATTTACCTGGGGGTCGCTGGAGGCAGAGTCTGGGTGAGGCTGGGCCGCATAATATTATACTTTATATTATACTTTATATTTATATTATACACTAATATTATACTTTCATATCATGGTGGGGGCCACAGGATATCGTCCTGAGGGCCGCAATTGGCCCACGGGCCGCGAGAATGAGACCTCTGGTTTAGGCTATGAGGAGACTGACCTTAATTCACTAAGGGATTCTTTATCTCTCATCGCGTTTTCCAGACTCGTCTGCAGCTCAATAATTGATTGCCGTAAAGCGAATTTCTGTTGCTCGTGTTGTTCTGTATTCTACAGGAGATGAAATAAGATAATTAAATAAATGCTGGGAGAAAGGGACAGAGGAAACCACAGAGAGAGAGAGAAGCAGGAGAGAGATTTTTCTGGAACAAAAGCAACGGAGAGAAAGTATTCCTTAGGAAACTAATTGACTTGGAGCTTTCCTGCTACAGGTAGTCCTTGACTTACAACCATTTGTTTAGTGACTGAAGTTACAACGGCACTGAAATAAGTGACATGACCTGTTGGACCTGACACCACTTAAATCTCTAATTAGAAACAATCCTGGACTCCATTTGTTGAGAAAGGTACAATCATGTGCAGAGATCATGTGCATTGCAATATTGCAAAGCCAAAACTGAGAATCACGCACCAAAATCCCTGAACAGGTTGTTAAGTGAATCTAGCTTCCCCAATGATTTTGCTTGTCAGAAGGTTGCAAAAGGAGATTTATATGAATCCGGGACACCGCAAATGTCATAAATACTTATCTGTTGCCAACCGTCTGAATTTTGATCACATGACCTTGAGGATGTTGCCATGGCCGTAAGTGTGAAAACAGGTCGTAAGTGCCATGCTTTTGAGTGCCACCTTAATTTTGAATGGTCACTAAATGAATGGTGGTAAGCTGAATATTAACTGTGCAGGGAATTGTACAGAGTTGCCCCGAAAAGAGCTAAATGAGCAGCCTTTCATAAATTTAATAAACAAATAAAGTTTAAAAAATAAAATAAAATTCAGGACAAACTTGATACTTACATCGCTTAGTTTCTTCTGCAAGTCTCTCACTTGCTGTCCATATTCTTCCAGGATGTTCTCCACCTGGTCTTTCCCAGAAAAGCTAACTGATTTTTTCGGGCTCCTGATCTCCGAGTCATATTTGGAAGAAACTGTCTTCGGAGGACTACTACTGTGTGAACTAGGAATAGCGTAGGAGGTGGCATCCAGGACTGTACTGTGGTGCTTGTTTAAACTGGATGATGATTTTGGGCTGGTCATCACGGGAACCCCTAAAACACACAGATGGACCAAGAATTAGACAGTAACTGAAGAAAACACAGAATGATATAATGGTGGGAGAAATGGTCATCTCTATCAAATTCATATTAACTATTTTTATATTTTCTCTTTTTTTTATTATTCGGTACACCACTCAGAGTCTGTTCTGACCTCAGCCTTCCCCAACAGCACGAAGCTGAGTCCTCGTCCCAATAAACCCCTTTTATTTGATTTATAATGAATTTCCTCTCCAACAAAGTCCTGGCCAACAGTCTTTCACAATAGTTCCCAATTACAGACCTTTAATCAGGCATGGAGAGTTGACAGGCCGGTATCTTTCAGATGCCGCAATACTTGGGAAGCATGCCGGAATGAATTAATTGTCTCCTGCAAAGTCCCATTCCCCTTTCGCTCCTCTTTTATTCCTTATGGGAGGGGCCATTCACCATCCACCTGTTGTGGTTAGCTGGCTGCAGGTGCAAACGGCTGAGGAGAGCGAGGACTCAGATGAGGGGCCAGGACCATTAGGGAGTGGACTGCTGCCTTCAGAGATTGTGGGGGCTGGCAGCAGTGGTGAGGAGGTTCCCGAGGAGCCTGTACCAAGTACGCCTGCATGCAGGGTTGCTCATAGAAAAGAGCAGTTACAACAGCATGGGCGACTCGGGAGTAAGGCTGCATGGTAATGGCCTCTCCTTCAAGAAGATAAAAGCCAGCTGTGAAACGAACGTTCTTTGCAGAAGGCAAAGACGTTTTGAAACTCCAGCCTCGTGGATATTCCAGTATCCTGAGTTTGTATTTGAAGATTCTTATTTTGCACATTATTTCTTGTCTGTTATCTTTTGGCAAGTCTCCCACAGTTTTGCAAGGCTTGTGCTTATCACAGCTAATTATTTTGTAAAAGCATTATAAGGTTTCTGTTCTCTTTGGATTGTGTTTGATTTGTTGGAAAATGGCGTCACCTGTGCCTTTACTCCCAAGTCAGCCTTTGTTCCTCAGCTGTTCCCTTCTTCTGGCAACTCTGTGCATGCGCACACTGGGAACAGGCTCCAGCTGTTCTTCTGCCTTACTAATGTCCAACTTTGAAGCCAGCTGATAACTGTCAGATGGCCCTGGCCCCATCTCTGCCTCCAATGCAGAGCACTCATCAGAGCTTTCCCCAGACTCCAGGACTGGCTCATGTTCCTCCCAAACCTCCTCACTGTCCGAATCTGCAGCCAGTTCCGCTGGGTGCTGTCAGGCCACAACAGTGTCGCTCCAACAGTCAGATAGGCTGCATATAAATTTAATGAAGAAATGAAAAATAAAAGTGATTGCTTATGTCTCTAATCAGCAGTCACAACCATGACACCTGATAAGATAGGGGATAACTGCAGGGGTGGGATTCAAATTTTTTAACAACCGGTTCTGTGGGCGTGGCTTAGTTGGTGGGCATGGCTTGATAGTCATATTGGCTGGGCGTGGCCAACTCAATATCACTCACATCGAGGCATGCATCTCCTTCCCTGGCCTCTCATGACTGTGGGGATGCTGCAACAGTTGTGAGTGTGAAAAATAGTCATAAGTCACTTCTTTCAGTGCCATTGTAACTTTGAATGGTCACTCCACACAAGCAAAGTACCAGCAAAGGAGGGGGAAAAAACTCAAGAGAAGTTCCTGAGACAGGAAGTCCAGTCCTGCCAAGAATGTGATAAGGGTTAACAGAGAGGCAGTTTCTGTAAGCAACACCAGAATGTTTCCTTCCTACCTTCCTTACAGGATTAGGCCAGTAATTTCTCCTAACAACCGGTTCTCCGAACTGCTTAGAATGTTAACAACCGGTTCTAGTCAATAGGTGCGAACCGGTAGAATCCCACCCCTGGATAACTGCTCATAACAGCTTCCTTACATTCATGTGCGCATACACACACACAATGTTAAGGTTTTTGCCTTTTTGCCAAAATGAGGAATTAACACTTCTCAAACAGTGAGATTCTCAGAACCGTAACCCATAGCAACTAATAAAGCAGCATAAAACTGCATTGTTCAGTAACATTGTTCCATTAAAGTAATTTATAGGGAGTCCTTGTTTAGGGACCACCATTGGAAATGGTCACCAAGTAGGAAATTACTTGACCACAATTGTGTTTTCCTTTTCCTCCCTCTTCTGCTTTTGAGAATGCTGCCGGACTGCTCAGCAAAATACCAAAACTTACTTAGCAGCCCAGTATATACTGTATGTATGCAAATAAAATAATGTTTGTACTTTCAAAATGATTTGGTTGCTTTAGGTGAGCCAGGTTTAGGCCTCGGCGATCTGAAAATGTTTTCTGTCCATCTGCAGAAAAAAGGCCAGCTATAATTTGCGTACGTGCTAATTAAACATACCTGTGGCAAGGAAAGGAGAAGACTTTCCTTCCCGACGTCCAGTGGATTCTGAAGAGAACTTGGTGGCTTCTTCCTGGAGTTTCAAGGTTTCTTGTGATTTTTTCTTCAATGCTTCCCTGTGCAATTCAGTGGTAAATCGTAAATGGAATCTGTGCTGGATTCTAACACTATGCATTCTTCAGAATAGATTGAAAGGAGCTACTTTGGACTCCTACTAGCATGATACTTCTTTATGGTAGAATGAGGACCCAGATTTTGGGGGCAAGAGGCTACTCTGTAAACTGCTTAGAGAGGGCTGTAAAGCACTGTGAAGTGGTATATAAGTCTACTAGCTAGGTACCTGTGCTTCGCTATGAAACTATGTGATTGGGCTTAGTTTTTTGGGAGGAAAATAAGGAGAATTTTTTTTTGCCTCTGGCTACCAGTATCCATCGGTATTCATCTGACTAGCGTCCTGTCAGTGTGTGAGAGAGTTGAGGGTTGTTTGGAAACTGAAACATGGAAACTAAAACAGTATTTGTTGTGTGAGCAAGGAGAGAGCAAGGAGCCTGGGTGTGGCTTAGCTCAACTGTCCTGTACTAAAGTTGCTTGGTGCTGTGAAATTAAAACTGAAACTGCTTTCTTCTGCTTGTGTTTTGCATTTGGAGCAGATTTCTTTTCAAGTGGGGAGGTGGAGTAGAACTCCTTAGCATCAGATCCTTTCTTAGTGAGCGCCTAGAAGCCAAGAGGAACATACATGCCAAATTTCAAGTTTGTAGGCTTTACGGTTCTGGAGATTTTGTGATGATGCATGAGTGGTATTTCACTTTTATATATATAAAAGATTATTACTCCTTATTAAAGCAACTGTGTTTTTTTTCCAGAACGTCTGCATAAGACTAGGAAAAAGAATCGTGACTGTTTTGTGTTAAAAGACACAGCTGCTTTAATGGTTTGACTTATTGAAGCAACTACATCCTTTTTTAAACACATAGAAGTTTAAGAATGAATGAGGCAGCTGCTTTAATGAGCAGCAGAGAGGTGCTATGTTCATGCAAATTCCAATTCTGAATGAATCCTTCTGAATAGTTTTCAAAATAGGTACCGCCCTACTATATTGTTAACACATTTCTTAAATGTAAAGTGAAAGTGAAAAGCACCAATGCCTTTCAAATTTAAAGATGTCCAGAGGTTTCTTATTATTCAGAGAAATGCTAACACTCAGAGAAAATATTTTATTATTATGATATCCCACCTATAATGGTAAAATGTTGAACAAAACGTTAATTGCAAATCATAATTGAAAGATCTGTAATAGTGTAAAAGCAGGTACTACCTTAGCTCATTAATATTCTTACTCATTCTTGTAAAACCTGCAAAAAAAACAATTATTTTATTGCAACACTATAAATCAGGTTCATAAATGTTTTGACAAATCATGTCACTAAAAAGACATTACGCGATTTATATTAGATTGTTGCTGAGAGATGGCTATAAAGTACTATAAGCAGTATATAAGTCTAAGTGCTACAGCTATTAACAAATATTTTGCTTAGCAACATAAATTTTGGGCTCAATTGTGGTCATAAGTTGAGGATTACTTGTATGGGAAAATAGACAAGAGCTTCCCAGACCTATCCTCCAGGATCTAAGATCTGACACAGAAATTTAACTTGACTTAATTATAATAGATTTTTTTCATTCCTGCTGGGGTGCAAATGGAAGTATACACAGATTTTTAAAAACAGGTCTGCTCACTGAAAACTAGCATCTTGCACAAAAGCAAAGCTAGAACAATATTTTTCAACTTTGGCAACTTTAAAGTTGTGTGGATTTCAACTCCCGTGATCAACATTCAGACACTTAGCAACTGACTCTTATTGATGACGGTTGCAATGTCCCTGGGTCCTGGGTCGCATGATTCCCTTTGGCAACCCTCGGACAAGCATAGTCCATGGGGAAACTGGATTCACTTAACAACGGTGTTACTCATTTAACAGCTGCAGGGATTCACTTAACAAATGTGGCAAGAAAAGTCGTAAAATTGGGCAAAACTCAACAAATTTCTTGCTTCGCAAGCTAAATTTTGGGCTCAGTTGTGGTTCATAAATTGAGGACTGCCTGTGTAACACACATACACACAGCAAATTGCAAATATTCAGAACGACTACAACCCTGTTGCCTCAGTGCAGCCATGGCTGTTTAACAGAGGAAGGAGATGTAAATGGCTAAATAAGAACGGATCTCCAAATGCTATTTAATCAGCTCTTGATAGAATAGCAGAATCAAGTCCCTTATTTGTATTCATTGTAGTTAATGCAGTCATCCAAGTTAATTCAATGGAGCTGGTGACAGTCTAATACAGGGGAACAAATCAAATCATTTTGGGGATGGTAAGAACCTCATACATCTTCAGAGCTATCATCTGTGTAATTATATTATATTGTGCAGTACTTTAAGTATTCCAAGAACACACATTAAATAGCTAAGAGTTTCTGATGTGACTATATCCTGGAGCCTGGCTGGCTGCTTCAATCAAGAGCGATGGCTTATTATTATTATGTAAGGTAGGTAAATGTATAAAAGATTAGTCTTTTGTCTTCCCTTTCAATTTTGATGGGCTTGACCTGGCTTTTGATCTGCCCATAAAATTACTAGGAAGAAGGAAAAATAATGAAACCTGGGAGCTACAAATAGAAAAAATGGGCTTTGCAGTGCAGATGTGTTAAGGAGATTGTGTTAGTATAATTCACTTCTCTTACGTTCAGTGGAGTTTGAATGTTTTGGAGGAGATTTGATTAAAAATAAGGCTGGTTTTGCAAAACTGGTGTCAAACCATAATGCATTCTTCATTCACTACAAGATGGGTGGTAAATAAATTAAATAAACTAACAAAATGCTTTCCTAAAAATGGACTTCACAATCTCAAAAACAATACACGCAAATAACATTCTCAAGAATCATATTTCTCTTACACCAGATTCCATAAAAAGTAAATGAAGGGGCTCCTAAATCATACAGGGAGAGAAAATGGTTATATTATATAATTAACATCTCTAAAGATTAGGATTTTTTGCCAGAACCTGCACAACTGCATAACTGTGAAAAGGTCTTCCAATTTACTTCAAACCAAGAACAGATCTGATTTTGATCTAAGGTTGTCTCCTAATATATTTAACACCCCTCACATCCCGGACATAAACTGTTTCAACTCCTATCCTCAAAATGATGCTATAGAGCACTGCACACACCAGAACAACTAGACACAAGGACAGTTCTTCCCAAATGCCATCACTCTGCTAAACAACTAATTCCCTCAACACTGTCCAACTATTTACAAAGTCTGCATTACTATTACTATTAATCTTCTCATCACTCCTTATTGCACATCCCTTCCCACTTGTGACTGTATGACTGTAAGTTTGTTGCTTGTATCATTATGATATATATTGACTGCTTCCTAGTATGATTTGATTGCTTATGGTACCCTATGACTATTAATAAGTGTTGTACCTGATGATTCTTGACTCTCGATGAATGTATCTTTTCTTTTATGTACATTGAGAGCTTTTGCACCAAGACAAATTTCTTGTGTGTCCAATCACACTTGGCCAATAAAGAATTCTATTCTATTCTATTCTATCTATTCTATTCTAAATATAAAGCCATTTGGTTCAATCATATCTTAAAAGATGCGCCTTAATTTTTCCAATTGCATAAACACACAGTAGTCCTCAACTTATAACCGTTTATTTAGTGGCCATTCGAAGTTACAACGGCACTGAAAAAAGGGAGCTATGATTATTATTCACACAACTATTGCAGCATCCCCATGGTCCTGTGATCAGAGAAATGAATCCCAAAGGACTACAGGTAAATCTCAGAAATATTGTGGGTTATTTATTTATTCATTAAATTTATTTGCCACCCATCTCATCCCAAGGCAGCTTACAACATTCAGGCCCAGATCATCAAAATAAAGCAAATATTGTAACAATGCAAATCACACAAAATATTGGGACTTCCCAATGCATATAAATATTATTTACCCTATGCTCTAATCAATTAGCAATAGCACTTAGACCTATAAACCCCTCCAGGGTGCTTTATAGCATTCTCTGAGCGGTTTACAACATCAGCATTTTGTCCACGACAGTCTGGCTCCTCATTTTACTGACCTCGGAAGGATGGAAGGCTGAGCCCCATCAGGATCAAACTGCTGACAGTGAGCAGAGTCAGCCTTCAATCCTGCATTCTAACCACTGCACCACCACGGCAATTAAGTGTGCTATAGGTAAAGGTTCTCCTCGCACATATGTGCTAGTTGTTACTTTCCCACCAAAGTGGTCCCTATTTTCCTACTTGCATTTTTTACATGTGTTCAAACTGCTAGGTTGGCAGAAGCTGGAGCAAGTAACGGGAGCTCACTCCGTTACGCGGCATCAGGGATTCGAACTGCCGAACTGCCGACCTTTCTGATCGACAAGCTCAGTGTCTTATCCACTGAGCCACCGTGTCCCCAAGTGTGCTATGGCACTTATGTCTAAAAAGACAATGTAAATGCCTTAATTAAATAACATGTAGTGCTAAAAAAGTGCTAACCATCATCTGAGTTTTCAACAAATTGCAATCTTTTTGCTGGCAGAGGGTCTCTGAAGCACAAGGAAGCAAAGCATGATAAAATGAGGTATGCCATCACTGGAAATTTACAAGAATTCCTTACACTCTTAAGCATCTCTGTGTTATAGCAGAACAATCATTAACCATTAAATTTTCAAGCAATCCTTTAATCATTAATACAGCAGCGTGCAATAGAAACACGAAGTTTGCCTTTTTTCCTAGCTTATGTTCATATATATATATATATATATATATATATATATATATATATAAATATTCACATCATTGCCTATCTTCAGCGACTGAGATGTTGTGCGTCAGTAAATGAATACAGGTAGTGCTTGACTTACAACAATTCATTTAGTGACTGTTCCAAGTTACAATGGCACTGAAAAAAAAATGACATGATCAATTTGCACACTTATGACCATTACCACACCCTCCTGGTCACGTGATCAAAATTCAGAAGCTTGGCAACTGACTCGTATTTATGACGGTGACAGTGACAGTGTCACAGAGTCACAGTCACTTAATAACTGTAGTGATTCACTTTACAACTGCGGCAAGAAAGGTCGTAAAATGGGGCAAATTCATTTAACCATGGACTCACTTAGCAGCAGAAATGTTTGGCTCCATTGTGGTCATTAAGTTGAGGACTACCTGTACACATGCCCTACTTATAAAAGCCAGGAGATAAGTAACAAGAAAGTGGTAGAGTTTTTTTGTTGTATTTGTAAGAGCCAGAATCTATGGGAGTGGAGGCTATAATAAATTTAAATAAATCATCAACAACAACAGTAGTTGAAAATGGTAACTGAAAGTGGCTGTGATTGGTTAAGGAGGAGAAAAATGATCCCAGGAGTTCATATCTAAGGAGATAGCAGAAATGGCTGAGTTTGTGACAAACTGGTTTGTTGTTATCTGGAAATATGAACAGGTTAGTCTACTCATTTGAGGGTAGTTTCTAATTTCAGAAAATCAGTTTTCAAGGCATCACCTATTAACAATGAATAGGTGTACTTGTGCTGAGGCTGAACTATCTTAATGTTTGGTGCTTGACAGAAGGCTGCAAACAATTCCAGATTCCCTTTTGTGTTTATTTATTTTATTTATTTATTAATTACACATTTTGTGTTCTCTCCTATAAGGTGACTCTGTGTGGCTATTGAACCTCACAATTTTAATCTCGTGGTATGCTTAGTTTTGTTCTACTCAATTCTCTAGCTTCGCACAACACAGTTAATCGTAAGTTAATCTCATAAACTGGGATTCAAACTTGGCTACACCAAAATGACATTGGCTTGTTTGTGAGTCTAAGCCTCTGAAACACTCATTTATATATAACAGGAGCTTAGAGCTTAGATAAGAGAACTAAGAGGAAATGAAACTTATTCTGATATTAAAAATATTCCTATTTGTGTGTTTTTCATCCATCAGTATGGTTATCCAATCTTTTGGCTAGCCTGAGCTGCACTGCCTTGCCTTGGGACTCACATAAAATATAGTTGATGTATATAAATAGCAAACTTCCATTGTTTCTTTGTTTTTCTTTTAAATGTGATCATATGGGGCCATACTACTAGCTATTCAGGGCCAAAGGTAGCCCATGGACCCTGAGTTGGAGCACCTGCTTTAGAAGGTCTTCATATCTAAAAATGAGAAGATGGAGCAATATGGTCTAGAATAGATTAAGGGATCAACTTAGGATCTAAGGATTCATCTAAGGATATAATTACACCTTA